AGGAGTGAGGGGCACTGGACGGCTAGGGGAGTAGCCCATGGCTGGGCTAACAAGGGCTGTGGGTCAGGATTGAGGGGCATTGGCAGCGCTTGGGGGGAGCCCAGGGCCGGAATAGCGGGGGGGGGGCTGCAGGTCAGGAGTGAGGGGCACTGGACGGCTAGGGGAGTAGCCCATGGCTGGGCTAACAAGGGCTGTGGGTCAGGATTGAGGGGCATTGGCAGCGCTTGGGGGGAGCCCAGGTCTGGGCTAGCAGGGGAGGCGGCAGCGAGTCAGGACTGGGGGGTGTTGGCAGAGGAGGGTGGCAGCCTGGGGCTGGAATAACAGGGGGCATCGGTGGTGCTGAGAGCGGAGCTCTGAACAGCGATAGCAGGTGGTGCCATTAGCCATGGGGCAGGCGGCTCCAGGGCTCAGGTTGGGTCCCCAGTTGCCTTGCAGCCAGGGGTGGGGCGGGGCGGGGCAGGGCAGGGTGGGATCTCTAGGAACCTGGCACACCGTGGGCACGGGAGGCAGCCCATGAGTCAGGTTCCCTGGAAGTCGTCAGCTAACACAAGTGGGGTGCCTGCCCTGCCCCCAGAGACCCCCCTGCCCTCCTGGTGCTGGGGCGGGCTCAGCCCCTGGCCCTGGCCCTGCTCAGGGCCTGTCCTAGAGCCAGGGGGTCACGGGGGTCAGACACCCCCCCCCCCCAGGGCCTTTCATCAGCTGACAGACAAGGCCCAGCTGCAGCACCTCAGGCCTTAGAGATCAGTGACCCCAACACGGCCTATAACCCACCTGGCCCCCAGAGCACGGGCTGCGACGGCACCGTGGGGTGGGTGGGGCTCACTAGGGGGCGCTGTCCCCTCACCCCAACACAGGGCCAACACTCCTCACCACATCACACCCCCCATTACACCCCCCCACACACACACTTCACACAAGCTGGGCCGTGCCGAGAAGCCCTGGATGGAAAAGGTGTTTCTGCAAATTCCGCCCCTTGATCCCCAGCCCCCCGGGGGCGCTGGCAGCGAGCGATTTCTCCGGCACTGCCCTTCCCGCCTTCTTGGAAGCAGGAGCGGGAGGGAGTGGGAAGGGCCCGCCTGCGTCTTAGATCGTGTTATTGCCTGATAAAAAATGATGAATCCCTCGCTGAGGGAGAATTCCAGGAAAGCGCGGCCATTAGTCACCAGCCCTGGCACGATTCGTCGGTGGATCTCAAAGTGCTTGACGAAGGCAGGTCGGTACCGTCATCCCCATTTTACGGATGGGGAAACTGAGGCACAGAGGTCACCCAGCAGGCCAGAGCTGGGAATAGAACGCAGGTCTCCCTGCTGCCAGACCACTAGGCAGCACCACCTCCCCTCGTACTGCCAGAGGCGTCATTCCCAGGCGGCTTCATTCGTGCTTTGCCAGTGAGTGCTAACTACATGGGGAGGTGGAGAGGGTCTGCCATGGGGCAGAGTTAAGGCCGTTAGGTCGCCCAAACTGGGCGTTTCCTCCCTCAAAGCGGGTCTAGATTTGAGGGTTCCCCCATGTGGCCGCCCCCAAGGGTTCAAAGATCATGAGTCAGACCCCCCGACACCCAGCCCTGTCATGGACATGCCCAGCATGCCCCGGTGGGTTAACCAGGCTCCCAGCCGGCCCCATGGCAGCCCCAAACAGAGCCCGCATGGGAAGGGAGGCACTGTCTCCAGAACGACCGGTGCGTGGCTAAAGATGGAAGGAATCAGGGCTGTGCCCAGCCTGAGGAAAGCAGGGTGGTCTAGTGGGTACGGTCCTTTCCCACTGGGCAATGAGGTCCCAGCCCTCTGCTCCTGCCGGGCCATACGGGTCCCTGGGTCATTTCTGGGTCACTGATCTCTAAGGGGATGAGATGCTGCCAACTGGGACCTCCGCTGAGAGTCTGGGCCTCCCCAGCCACACAACAGGGGCCTTGAGTGGGCTGAGCTCACCTCCTCACCCACCCCTGCCAATTATCGACCCGCCACTAAACTTGGGAACCGGCTGCCTTCGCCCACCTGCGCTCATGCCATTCGAAACGTCAGAGAACTGATTGGTGATCTCAAGGCCCCCTGCGAGCCAGGCCCAGAGCCCAGCCCCGCACAGAGGGGGCGGCATACCGCTGCCGCCATTGTACAGCAGGGGAAACTGAGGCAGGAGGGGGTCTCCTAACTGGCATTCCAGCACCCCGGCTACTGGCCTGTGCGCCCTCATGGGACGGGACAGGGACGGGCAGGTTAGTCCATCCACAGGCAGTGCGTCTTGCTGAGCCGCGGTGCCCTGGGTGCGCCCCGCCAGGGACTGTGGTAGCAGGTTCGGTATTAGGGTCTCCTGGAGGCCCCATGAGGGGGGCGGAGATGAGCCATCTTTGCAACGCACAGCGAAATCAGTCCATCCACCACTGAGGGGCAGCCCCCTCTGGCGTGGAACGTGGCAGCTGATGAGCAACTCCCAGCAATGCTGCCCCGCCATTTAGGGCAGCGGGCGGAGGAGGCCCCTGCATCCTGACAGGGCTGTAGAGGGGACCGCAGGGAATCCCAGGGGAGTGCTGGGATGAAATACCCACGGGGCCAAGGGCGGAGTTTTACGTCTCTTCCGAGGCCTGGCAGCTCCCATCCAGGGGGCAGCGCCAGCGCAGACTGACTTGGGCACCCGTTACACTGCACCCCAGGACGGGGTCCTGCTGGGGAGACGCAGGCTCCCCCCTGCCTTTAAGCCAGGCAATCCCTGCACACGCGCCCCCAGCCTGCCGGGCCAGCCAGTGCAGGGGGGCCTGGGATGCTGGGCTAGGGCTGCCCTGTGCCAAAAGGATCTCCCAGCTCCTCGCAGCTGCCCAGCCTGGCAGCTTCTGCCCCCGCCCCGGGGTGTGCAGGTGTTCAGCGGCCCAACAGCCTGGGGGAGCCGACGGGGATGGGTGGGTGGGGCTGTTCCTTGCCTGACTGTGTGACCTGGAGCCCTGGCTGGCTACTGGCATTGTACCCAGCCCCTTGGATCTTCGGAGGGATGAGTTCCAGCCTTCGGGGAACAGTGTGTGTCCCTCTCCCCACCTTCAACAGCCCCAGTAATTTTCTCCCTCTGCCAGATGCTCCACCCACCTATCTCTGGCTCCTCCCACCGTCACCCAGTCCCCACGAGATGATCGGCCTGAAACAGCTTCCGGCGTTGACACTGATGGAAACCCCCATTAGGTTTCAGAGTTAACAGTCCGCCCAGTCCTCTCTCAAAGGTGAGGCCGGGGAGGGGGCTTGTTGGCACAGTAGGTGCTCGGCGCGCTCTGTCCCTGGGGGCACAGGGAAGTGCTGGGCCCGTCTCCGGGGCTCCCCGCCAGAATTGTTCAGAACCAAGCGGGTTCCCGAGCCTGATGCCAGGTGACCTGAGGCACCGCAGCAAGCTGTGGGTTCATGTCCAGGCTGCCCGTGCATGAATTCTGCTCC